AATAAAATAAAATAATACATACATAAATGAAAATAACTGAAGGTTATTTAAAGATAATTTATTGTAAACTAAAACAGTCCTACCTTTACTTGAGACTGTGATGTTCTCCACTGTTCAGGCCCATAGCGGCTAAACTCCTGCTGTGCCCATGGGCGGCATTTTAGGTGGCATGCGTCACAATAGGCCGTTCCCCGTCCACCCACTTCACTATCTATCTTGAAGAGCCATCGCTGGACTTCCATGTGTTCTGTCATCAGCCGGGCCAGACCTTCATGAAGCTGGAAGATAGACATATGAATCATATTCCATTCTTTTTCTACATCATCAAATGTAAGTTTCACATGAGGTGTTTAAACAGATGTCTGGCACACAGACCTGCTCCAGGGTGTATATATCCCACTTTCCTGGAGGCATGTCGACCCCTGCGCTACTGAAGATCCTTCTTCCCCCGGATTTAGTGCTGTATAGCTGGGTCACTGCAGGCTCTGTGCCCAAAAGTGGAACTTCGAGCTCATCTGCCACAGCCAGGTCATCAATATGGGTGACACCGCCAATCATGTAGGCTTGTTTCCCCTGGATCAAATTCTTGATGCGCTGTAGTGTTCGAGGACTATACTTCAGGAGCGAAGCTAGACACATATTCCGGGTCTGAAAGAAGAATATAATACACAGGGAGTTAATGGTCAATTTAAAGAGCACAAAAGCTGCAGAATTAATGCTGTACGTTTCATAACATAATAAGCTCTAATAAAGAGAATACATAACAGAAATACATTTTTATTATGTATATTTCCCCCCAAAGGTGAAATCTCAGTGGTCTTTGTGTACATAAATAACTGTCCTTTCCACTCCAGCTCTAAGGTCGTACCCCTCCCTTTGTCTATGGGTGTAATTTATGAACGTGCGCAAACACATTGGGCCCATTACGTGCAGCCGGAGGGGTCATGACCTCTCCTGTACTCCAACACGTTAAATTGATAAAGGAGAGTCAGGGGAGGGCCGTACACCTCTGCAGCTTCTTGTCTTTACTATGTGCTTAGTGATGGGCTCTAAGGGGAAAGCACTAATTACTCCACATCTGTATGTTTGATCCAAGCAGAATTGTCCCGTCTGTCATTGGCACGCCATGCTGGCAGCAACGGCTAACAGAGATTTATCCTGCTGACACGTCTGGCAGAGTTTACACATGGAGAGGAATCGACAGGGAA